CGGCCGCTTCTACATGAAGGACGCCGTGCGCCTCATCGTGCGCATCGCCGCCGCCAACGGGGTACGTGGCAAGGAGGGAAAACGGGAAAAAAAGGAGGAGGAAAAGCGGAAAAACAGCAGTGGGAGAGAGGAAAAGTTGCCATGCTGAATTGGATTGATTAGCTTTGCCCACTAGGCTGTGCTGTGATTGATTGGCCTTACTTATTAATTTTGATTTTTGGAGGGGGCTGTGCTTTCTTCCAGGTGTCTCCGGTCTGCCCGTGCCCACCCGCATCCGTGCGGCAGGAGCCCTGGAGCGCTGCCCGCACCGGGGTTTGGTCCCAGCGGGTTCGGAGGGCTCTGGAGCAGGAAAGGTCTCCCGGGAAGGAGGAGGGAATAGGTGGAGATGTGGCTTAAGAGTCAAGGCAGGGTGTGAAGTGACAAGTTTCACTTTAATAATTCTTGATTTTAAAAAAGCAAGGTGGTCACAGCCTGGGATGAAGCATTAGGCTTTTTCAAGCAAAAATTACAGCAACCTTGTGCCTTATTTCCTGATCCAGGTTCTCTACGTCTCCTTTTGTAGCAGAATAGACAGTAGTGAAATGGACTTATTAATAATTTTCTGTGTATCTACTTTCCACTTTCTGAAGGCTTAAGAGTATTCTTGCTTCATATTTTTTCTCTGTAACTCCTAGTTCCCCGGTAGCTACCACAGGGCAGTTGAGTAAGAGCCCATGAAATACCTGTTTCCTCGTGATAAATGTGGAGTAACTGGTGGTTGCCTGCCCTGCAAAGGGAGGACTCGACTAACGTCCTTCACCTTCAAGAAAGTGTATACCTGGGACGGGGAGCACGTGGTAACTTGTTCCCAGAGCCCTGGGTTTGCCCAATACTGAAATTCTTGTGCAGTTTTCAGATCCCAGCAGCCAGATCTTGGAGAAATACGTGGTTATCTCACACAGGGAAACCTCAGGAAGAGGCTGCACTGCCCTTTGACTGCCTAAAGTGACCTGGAGGGCTGTTAGGTCTGCAGAGTTGTGAGAGTGTGTGTGGTGGGAACTGGTGTATAGGAATAGTAGGAATGGGGTAACGCTGAAAACAAGAACTAAAGAGCACAGGTAAATAGAAGTATGTTTTGGCTACAGGCTTTTGAACATAGCTTTTCTGATTGATTTTGGTAACCAAGATGTGCCATATCAGGATGTATTTCATCATCTAACCTCAGCCTGCCCGTGGCAAAGCAGTGCAGGGAAAAGCACGTTTCTGGTCACAGGGAGTAAAAAGCGATCGCTTTAACGCTTTTAAATTGCACGTCTTGAGACCTGATTAAATGATCTTCACACAAGCTGCAGTTTATGATCGTTAGTTTTACAAAGTAAGAGGTAAGGATGCTGGAGTGAGTCTTTTCTTGTCTCCATCTGGAATGGTTAATGGTTAGTACATACCTAACTGGTGTTTGACTGAGCAACAACTCCATTTGTGGTTATATGATTAAGAAATGTTCATTCTATTTATAAGTTTTCAGACATTCAAGTAAACAAAAATAGACTTTGTTGGTTTTGCTGTGTTCATTTGGCATCCAGTTTAGTTTACCTGTTTGTTTTGGTCTGCAGTGCCAGGTTTCCTTTATGGCATTCCCACATTGTTAGGGAATCTGCCTCCTTAATTACATGAATGAAAATTAAAATGCTCCAGTCATCACCTGTCTGAGTAGAACAGTGTCTGTGTAATAACTTAAATCAAAAAGGCACAAAAATAACAAGTTAAAGCTGTAGATCTAAAAATGGTCATGCAGGTAGTACTGTGCTGTTTCGCCAGGACTGTCACCTGCTGCCTGGTGCTTTCTGTTGCATGCTTGACAAATTTACCCTGTCCCTGGTTCCTGTTCATGTAAAAAGATTTCAAAGTGCTGCAAAGTGTTGCTTGTAGGTGTTTGGAATGCCAGGCAGTGCTTTGCATGTTAAGTGCTAGCCTGGTTTTGTTTTACTGCTGCAGGACAAACTGCTTCTGTTAGAAATACTGCTCTCTGCCCTAGAAAGTTTAGTTTCCTGGCTTGGCAGGTGCTAGGCTTTTCCTCCTCAGTCATCCAAGGAAACCAAGTATTTAAATTCTATTGTGCCTGGCTGAGATCTGCTCCGTGCTGACCGATGGGCAGCCACCGGCGTGTTTGTGCTGCTCACCCGTAACTTGGCTTCTTGTTTTCCTTGCCTAGTTTGTAAGAAACCTGTTCCCAATGGCTCTCCTGCCCATTCCTCGTTCTGCAGATCTGAAGTCAGCCGTAGGCCTGTGGGCTTAGAGGCGGTCACTTATTTAGTGATGTGGAGTAAGTCCGTACATACAGCGAGCGAGCCGGCAGCGTGCCCGCGCTGTGTACCCTGCATTACGTTATGGTGGGTTTTAGAGGGCAGTCACACATACAGCAGGACCTGGAGGCCGTGTTTGCACTGGCCTTCCTTCTTGTCTGTCAAGATAATTGGCTTGTATCAGTTAAGGGCATTACAATGTCCTGTCTTGAGAATTTTAAGCTCTGTGATAAGGAAACCTTAGCTCAAGCAGGATGAACTAAGGTGCTTTGCAGTTGAAGGATGTCAGTAAGATACAGGTGCAAGAGGATGCTTAGGCATGAATAATCAAATATGAATATAATATGTATACTTACAATCATCATATAAGCTGCAGAATAATATACTGAGCAGCAGACCTGCAGAAGGAGGTATGAGGACTGGCACAGACCACAAAGATTGTTGGCATATCATACTGTGGTCTGGAAATAAACTATGTCGTTTTGAGATTTTTGAATAGGGTGATAAAGGAAGCCCAGAAACCTGTCTGAAAGGCAAGACGTGCCTGTTTTGAGCTACTGCTCCTCAGAGCACGTGTCTGCTTGGGGAAGGCTCCAGCACTAGGCAACAAGCATGACCAGAGGTCAAGAAAAGCAGCCCAAAGAGGAAAGACTGAAAGACTTTGCTCAGCTCAGAGGTGAGGAAACATGTTGGCAGTCTGCAAACGTCTGCAGAGGTGCTGCAGGGAGTATGGCAGCAAATTGTTCTGTGGTCCACTGGGGTTAGGGCGAGAATTAAAATTGCAACAGCTGAGGTTTAGGTTAGGCATGAGGAAGTATTTAGAAAGCACGAGGCTAATGGAAGGAGCACGTTGCGTGGGGAGGTCATGGAATCTCTCCTGGGAGAACTTCTGGCGGGAATGGTTTGGGGAGAGCTGTCTGCCTCAGGACAGGGACTAGCCGAGCTCTCCAAATCCTTTTCCCACTACTGAACTGTCCCTGCTGCTCATCCCTAGGCCTGCAGAGCAGGCTGCCCTGGCGCGGCCCAGGTTTGTGAGGAAGGATTTGCCATGTGTTTCTGCCTTTCCGTGCAGACACCTCCCATGAGGCCGTCGCGCTGCGCTGATCAGCTTGCAGCCTTCCTCCGTGCCCAGGAGAGAGGCAGCAGTTTGGCTCTGTGCATCTCTGGCCACAGCTACTCGCTCCTTTGCCCACCTCGTTTGCCCTGGCACATCACTCCCCTCCACGAGGCTGAGTCTTTCTTTTCCAGTTATTTTTTTCTTGGCACGAGGTGCTGCTTTCTTTGAGGATCCAGGGACAGGGAGCATCTCCAAGAAATCCCAGCCCATTCATGCGTTTGATGCTCTTTGTGCCCTTGTTCCTCAGCAGTCCCTGCCTCTTTCCCCTGCAGGTCCCTAAATATGAGCAGGAGGAGGCCTGGAGGCCGAGGAGAACCTCCTCCCCCACAGCTCACGTCCTCTCCAGCCTGGCAGGATCCCTTGGGATCGCTTCACTTGGAGCAACCCATCCAGAGTCCCTGTCCCCTTGCCCTGTGCGCAGGGAGGGCAGCAAATGTCAGGCAGCCTGTGTAACCGTGCGGGGCCAGGAGTGCTTTGCAAGGCTGACCTTTAAGCAGAGCGTGTGTCTCGGCCGGCTCGCTGACCTCCGCGTCGCCGGCCGCCCCTGCAGCCCGGCCCTTGCCAGGGGCCAGCAGCGGCCCCGCGCGTCGGCCTTCCCCGCGCAGCCCTGCGGGGCCTCGCTCCCCAGGCCCTTTGCACCGCCCGCATGGCCACTCTCTTGCTTCTCACTGGGGTGCAACGTATTTACATTGCAGAGCATTTATGGAGCAATGTGCCTTTGCTCTCAAGCGACTCGTGCGCACGTGGGTGCGTCTGTGAGCACCTGTGCCAGGAAGACGGTGCCAAATGTCTTGCCCACCTGGAAGTTGTGCAGCAACTTCAGAAACCACATTTTGTAGTGAATCCTTACAGCAATGAGAGAGCCGCACTCCCTGTGGAGCTTTAGAGCTGGTGTTGGGTCTGGCCATTTAATCTGGCTCTGTTTGTCCTGGCATTGCCAGGTGTCACGCAGGCAGCAGCAGGCTCCTGTACCAGGCCTGTGGGCAGGCAGAAAGCGCGTGGTTCTGCAGCTCACCCGCACGCCTGTGCAGGGCTGCTGGCACCCTCCAATGGTCACTGCATGAGCTGCACTGCTTGCCTCGTGTTTTCCTTTGGTTAGGCATAAGAGGAATGGGATTTCTGTCTCAAAGGTCATAAGTGTAAAATTCCTGATTGGACCTCACTTGCTCCTTTGGCTTTTGTGCACTTTAACTTCTGGACTAATCACTGAAAAAGGGGCACAAGGAGATAACGCCTACTGTGAAGGGGTTGCTGTCTGAAAAGTTCCTAGGGTGCAGGAAGAGAAAGTTTGCAACAAATTGCAGGTGCATAGTGGGTGCCTTGGCTTCCTCTGCCCACCTAGGGAGGACAGAGAAATGCAAGAAATGAGAGCAGGAGGCAAGGGCAGGGGAGGAATTGCGTTCTCTGTAATATTTTACTACAGTATTTTACTCATGTTTAAGTCTTCTTGAAATAACCCCTTGTTTCTCTTTTTATCATTAACCAAAGTCAATAGTCAGGAGGCGAAAGTTCGTAGTTTTGACTCTGCTCCTGCATTTCTAAAGCGCATGACAGTAAGTGGGGACCGCAGCCAGAGTGGCTGTGTCTGCCTGCAGCGGCTGGGTGGTTGGAGAGACCGAGGTGGTCTCGAGAGGAAAGAGAGGGAACTTGGAATCTGTGGGTAAGAGGATTTTTTTAATGTGTAAGAAGCTGTCAGAAGGAAGAGGATGATCAATGTTTTCTGTGTCAGCTCAGTAGGATTTAAACCACAGCAAGGAAGATTTAGGGCCAGTTGTAGGAAAATGCTTGTAAGCATAAGGCTGATTATGCTCTGGCACAGGTAGGTGGAGAAAGAGATTTCAAGAGCAGTTCAAGTAGCCTTTTTGAAGCACGTCCTGGCTATACTGGATCCTGTGTGAGTTTTGGGGAGGGGGTAGATGACCTACTGAATGCCCCCAAATCCTGTATGTGATGTGTCACATCAGCAGAAGGAATCCTCAGCCTCATCATCTGCCTGCGATCGCATGCCAGTTTCCATCCCACGTCATCGCCAGCCCCATGTTTGTCCTGGTTGTGCGCTGTGGGTGACTTACTTAGCTTATCTGGAATTGTGATGCCCGTTTGCCAGGAAAATCTGGGAAGGAGGCAAGACGAGGAGACGAGGCTGCTGGATGCACTAATCGTGTCCCTTTGCTGGATGTGTGTGACCTCCTTGCTAGATTTTATATTTTATTGCTATGACTTATTTCTTTATATACACTAAGCAAGGGAATGATGAGCAATTCTTTAGCTCAATGTAGCCTGGTCCCTCTGTCCAGCACCTGCGCAGTTCATCCCAGGCACAAATCCCTGAGCTCACACAGCCCTTCTCCGTGGAGCCAATTCCTTGTGCGTCTCTCCACGCATCAGCAGGAGCCAGCAGGCGCCTGCGCCCCCCTCCTTGTCACTTAATGCCGCGACATTTCACAGGGCACTAAGTTGATCACTCCAGGAGGAAGAAGGCAAGGAGCTTGTGCAGGGTATTTTTTCCTTCCAGGGCGCAGTGGCTCGTTTGGGAGATTTTGTCGGCAGTGCCGCTAGAGGGAAACCTGTCCCTTCGCATGGAAAGACAAGGCTGCTCTGGTGGCGTGCGTGATGGCACGGCCGGCACCACGGGGACAGTCCTGCCAGGCCCCGGTCTCCCAGTGCAGTTCAGCTCTGTGCACAGCTCCCCTTTTCCACCTTTTTAATAACAGGACAGACTGAATTACAAGGTACATGTTCTTTCATTGCTCCAGGAATAGGCATAAAATGCTTAGAGGACTCAGTGCTATTGAAGAGCTTTGGAGGAAGCTGTGATTTCAGTCCAGCAGTTGAAGTTAGCTTTCCGAGGATGAGGAAGATGCTGCATTGTAAGAATTCCCTGGTATTTTGGCATCTCTTTTGTGTGTATTTAGTTAAGGTGCTCCAAAATTCACAGCTTTACCATATGCCATGTTCCAAAATACCTGCTAGTTTTCCATAATTCTTGGGGCATGTCCTGTCTTTAAAGAGGCTTGTGTGAGTGCAGGGTAATTTGTCTGTCCGTTGGCTTTTTGGCTACCCCGGGTTTTTCTCTATGAAAGCAAAGCTGTCCCACTGCTCATGCTGGATAACTGCCCCACGTCCGCGGGGAGCCTGCGGAGCACTGGCAGCGGCAGAGCTGCTTGTCAGGGGAGAAGCGAGCACTGGAAGCAAACCCGTAGGTAACAGATCTGCTGCCTTCCATTTTAAGAGTGACCTTTAATTTGCTGCACTCCACAAAATACCTGCAGCGGAGCCCTGCGGTGCTGCCGGGAGGCTGCCCTGGGGTATCCGCTTCCCGGGGAGCCGCGAGGGACCCGGCGCTGCCGCGGAGCCGCTTGCCCGGCCGGGACGGCGCGGGCTGAGCCTAGCAGCAAATCAGCGCGTCCCGGCGGAGCGGCCTCCCTCCTCGTGCCGGCGCGCCGGGGAAACGGCGGGATTAACGGCGCGGGACAGCACCGAGCGTTGAGGGGCTCCGGCACCGATGCAGCCCGGCTGGGAGAGGAGGTGAAATCTGGCTTTTCCCGGCCGTTGCGGCGAGGAACAGCAGCGAGGAGCTGGGTTTTCTCCATGACATTGATCCTACGGAACAAGTGCAAGAAAACGTCTTCAGTTACAGAAGCCACCTTCAGCTCAAGGTTCAAGGAGCTATTTTTGGCTGCCCGGCTCCTTCACTGAACTTCTCTCATAGGTGTGCCACTGCTGGTGTCCAGATTGTTTTATTTCTTTATAATTTATTTTTTATATGCATTTATATGAAAAAGGAACATGGAAGTCAATCCTCTACCTGTGTTGACTGTACCGACAGCTCCTTACAACGACCAGAAACCAGGAACGAGTGGATTACGGAAGAAAACCTTTTATTTTGAGTCCAAGATAAACTACATGCAGAATTTTATCCAGAGTATATTTTTTTCCATAGATCTAAGAGATCGCCAGGGATCTTCTGTGGTAGTTGGAGGCGATGGGAGATACCTTAATAAGTCTGCAGTGGAACTGATAGTCCAAATGGCTGCTGCCAATGGGGTTGGTAAATGTTAATTAACTAAATTCCTGGGCTGTGTAGCTGATAAATGCAGAAAGTCATAATAGATTAGCCACTATGAGGTATAATTTCCCCACTGTTTTTAATCAGCTGCTAATCATGACCTTTTCAATCAAAAATCAGAGCAGTAATGCTGAAATTAAGATTTATTCACTTTTAAGTGATGCAGACAGTCAGAAGGATGTGGAGGTACATGTGGAGCAAAGAAAATAAATACTGCTTGTTTTTTGTGCATTCGCCTTTTGTATTTGTACTTACAGACTTCGTGTTATCTCCATCGGACTCTGAAACCCAAATATTTCTAACCAGTAACTGGTGGAGCCGAGACCCCCTGCTCGGCAGCAGAGCTGCAAAAGCAGTTTCATTAGTGGCCTGAGCTGCTCAGCAAATGACAGGCAAAACCCGGGACGACTTGTTTGTCCCAGAAGTTGTGGCTGTGTGATAAATATTCCCAGAGCTTTTGAATGCTGAAGTAAGGCGATAGTTAAAAAGTGAGTGAAAGCTTTTGGAGTGATCTGTGTGCTGGAAATGTGTGTTCTGGAAGCAGAGCGGACGCAATGTCTGTGGGCAGCAGAGCTGGTGCAGGGTCTGCGAGAGGTTTGGGACCAGGTGCTTGGTCGCTCTTTGCTTCTTGCAAAGACAAGGCTCCGCTGTGTGTCCTGGTCCCCTCAGCACAGAGCTGCTGAGAGACCCTCCTTGCGGCGGCTGTTTGACAGAAGGGCTTAGCTGATCACAGCGCCGTCACCTGTAGCGGACGGGTGAATATGCGGAGGGGAATGGGTGCTTTAAGCGGGGGTATTTCCGAGGTGGGACAAGGCCGGGCGGTGCCTCGCTCCTGCCACAGGAATGGGCGCCTGGGGGGGAAGCATCTGCTGCGGTGTGAGGTGATCTTCACCCGCGGGGACTGCGCTCTGGCGTTCCTGCCCTTAGTGTGGCCCGTGTCTACTCGCAGTCTAGTCTCACTGTTGGGTTTTGTTATTTTTGCTGGTATTTTGGCGTGCTCTGCCCGGAGCTGTGGGCTCGTGCGTGAGCTGCGTGCTGGTCCCGCGTGCGAGGGGCTTTGCCAGGACCCTGAGGAGGCTCCTGACGGTACCACCATGTGTTTCTTGTCGCGCCGGGGGGTCTCGTTGTCAGCGAGTGGCAGCAGGAACCGTCTCTTTGCGCACGTGGGATCCGCAGGGGTCGAGGAGGCCAAGCAGCCATGCTGTGCCTGCGCAGCGCGTCCCTAAAGCGACTCCTTGGGCTAAAGGGAAGGAGCTCGGTGATGGCCTGCAGAAAACCTGGCTTGTAGCACTAGCAGGGTTTCTATTTAGAGACTAAATGTGCCAGGCCCTACAGGGCTGGGGAGGCAGCGCCGGACGTGCCGATACCTCTCCTTCCGGATCATGGCTTAGGGGCGATGCTGGCGATGGGACAGAGCGGCCGGCAGCAGCTCGATGGGCCAAGAGCCACGTTCGTGGTGCAGATGGCCCTGGGGAAGAGGGCGGCTGCGCGGGGTCTGCTCTGCTCGCCCTTGGCCTGCTCCTGGTAAAAGCAGAGTGGGAATCAGGACTGCTTTGAAGCAGTTACCCGAAGCGTAAACTGGTGTAAAACGGGTGTTTTGCGAAAGGTATTCCTGTATTGTTGCATCTTAGAATTTTCTTTTAAGAAACTCCAGAAGAGAAATAAAAAGATTAAGCATAATCTGCTCAGTGCACTGCTACCTCGAGCAAGCTTCCTCAGTGCTTGCCATGAGGGGTCTGTGGTTGGGAATTGATAGGAATCACAGTCCTCCAGCGCCTTGACTTAGCTGCAAGTGTGAACCTTTCCTGCAGCAGCACCAGCTTTTGTTCTCTGGCTTATCTTACTTTTGAATGAATTCCTCTTTCCTTGCTGTTGTATGCAAGCTCTGGTTTCCTGGGCTGAGGGATAGTAGTTTGCTACTTTTTAAAGACCTGTGTTGGCTCATTTGAGGGTTCTGTTAAGGGACAGGTTTCCTCCAGAAAAATAACGTATCTTCTGTTTCGCTCTCTTAAGCTTCTGTGGCCAGGTGCCAATTGCCTTGTATTCCTTAGCACCGTGCCCTGCACTTAGCCTTAGTGATATTAACACATCTGAGAGGTGGAGGAGCGTTGCCCGCTGTATGAGAATCCACAGCCCTCATGTCGTGGTGGTGCCGCGTGGCTTGTCCAAGCCTTGTTGTGTCCTGTGAAAGCACCGTCCGAGAGCATTCCCAGGGAGCAGCTTGTCCGGATGCCTCTGGAAAGCTCTGCTCTTCAGTGCAGGCTGTTGGCTCCAGGGGAGCTCACAAAGGGAAATGCTCCAAGGGCACAACAGGGCCCGGGGCAAGCGGAGAGCAGGGCAGCAGCCTTGGAGAACCGAGCTGGGCCAGCGCGGAGCAGCCCGGGGCCACGCGCCTCCCTGGGGAGGCCGGGCAGCCTCTGTCATCGTTGACGTTTGGGCCTCACGTTCGTGTTTTGCTTTGCTCTCCTGTTTCCAGATCGGCCGCCTGGTCATCGGGCAGAACGGCATCCTCTCCACGCCAGCTGTGTCCTGCATCATTAGGAAAATCAAAGCCATTGGTGGCATCATCCTGACAGCCAGTCACAACCCTGGTGGGCCCAACGGGGACTTTGGGATTAAATTCAACATTGCCAATGGAGGTAAGGTTGCTTGGTTGGTTTGGGTTCGCTTTGTGCCTGTTTCACCATTTTTCGTATTGAGAGAAGTGAATTTGATTTTAAATGTCTTAATGTCATTGGAGATCAGAGGCCTGAGCAAAGCAAGGGTTTTTCTCCTGCTGCCCCGTGATCCATTCCTGGAGATGCATTCCCAGCCCCAGGTTGTTTCGTTTGCTGTAGCCATAAAACACTCTTGTGTCTGCTTCTTTAACTCCTTTCCCCATTTTAACTTGCAGGTCCTGCTCCTGAAGGTATCACAGACAAAATTTTCCAAATCAGCAAAAAAATTGAAGAGTATGCGATCTGCCCCGATCTCCAGGTGGACCTGGGCACCATTGGAAAACAGCAGTTCGACCTGGAGAACAAATTTAAACCATTTACAGGTACGTGACTGCTTTCTGAGGGGATTTGGGCCTTAGCAACTGGCCTTCTACTGACTCTCAGTGTGTGAGGGATTGGGCCTAGGATGTGTTTTTTGTTTGTTTTCAGTTCCTATTAAGCATCTCAAATATGCCTCCATTTGAGGCAGTGGGAGTTAGATAAATGAAAAATACTGTCTTTACCAAACTTGCCTTCCCTATTGAGGTGACCTGTGAAACTAGGTTTAGTGTCTCCCAGCCACTTAGGCGGCTTTGAAACTTTTCCCCCTTCCTGATTTAAGGTACCTAATCTTGACTGAAGTTTACGCACCATGGTGAGTTTGCTGTCTCTAGTAATTGCTTTCCCTTCAGCAAAAGCTTCTAATTGTGTGTTATTTCCAGTTTGAACTTTTGCTGACTTCGGTTTACCAATTTACCACATCTTATACCACAGCTGCCAAATTCAAGTTCTTTATTTCTTTCTTTATTTTTGTTCTATATCTAAATTTCCTGTAGCTACTTCAGTGTTATTATTTCTGTCCTATGAATGGTTATATGTGGGTACATAGATCTGGTCCATTGAACTTTAAAAATAATGTGCCCGCTTTGTCAGCAGTGTTGTCATTGACATGCAGATGCAAAACAAGTTTGCAGGTAAAGTACATTTTCCTGATCAAAAATCTGCATTAAGTGTTCAGTCTTTGGCACTGACTCTCTGGTCTCTGTAGTTTTGCAAGTGAGAACTCTCATTCTGAGTAGGAAAAGCCATGATATTTTACACAGGACTTTTCTCAAATATGAAGCATGAAAATAAACAAAAGACTTTTTTTTCTTTTTTTTTTTTTTCTCAAAGTTCATGCAGGTGTTTTGCTCTGCCTCCTGGTGACTTGAACTTGGAAGAGAAAAAAAAATACTCAACTGCAAGATGGTAGCAGGCCCTAGCGTGCTCTGCCCTCGTTGCCAAGCACCAGGATTTTTGTGCTGACATATTTTTCATGGCTCTTTGTGGCCTGTTAGTTGCAAGGTGCAACTTTCTAAACTATTGGGTGCACAAACTATGCTGACTTCAGTGGAAATTGGAAATCTGTTTATATAATTCTTTTTTTTTCCTCTTTTTTTTTGTTTAATCCCACTTTCCCCGTGACTGGGATGGAGCTGAGCCCTGTCAATGAAACCCAGGGAGCCATCATCATGAACAGAGTTTGTGAAAGCAGAGATCTGGAGACAGTGTTTTGTCTTAAGGATTTTGGTTGGTCTCTGGTCTCTGGCAATGTAACGCAATGGCAGCCTGTAATTAAAGGCTTCTTAATATAGAAGAGTTGTTATTTTTCTTTATAACATGATTCTACTGGCTTTTTTATTCTTGACCCAGGCCCTTGGCACTAAGGGCTGTTAATGCAGTGCTGCACAAAGCAAAATAACTTTTTCTACATGAATTTCGGTCTGTGAGCGTTACTCTCTATTTGCTTCCCAGTGGAAATTGTGGACTCGGTGGAAGCGTACGCGAACATGCTGCGAAACATCTTCGACTTCAGCGCCCTGAAGGAGCTGCTTTCGGGGAAGAACCACCTCAAGATCCGCATAGACGCCATGCACGGAGGTATGGGCTGACGTGGGAGCACAGTGTCCCTGGGGCTTTGCCCCCGCTTTTGAGAGGATACTTTGTCCTGGGGTTTATATCTCTCGCTTGTGAATTTTGCCTTTTTGTAGCATTTCACTTTTTTTCGAATGCTCATAAGCAATCTCATTGCTGTTAGTGAAGTTACCTTGTTGTAATTTATATATTTGGGGCTATAGGAGAAGGATGAGAAAGAAATTATTTGCTCTAAGGCAGTACATAGGAAGCACAGAAGTCAACTGAGGTCAGAGCTGCCCAAGCTGCAGAATCAGCGCTGTGTTTGCTAGATGGAATTGGTTGATGCAGTGCTGACTGCCAACAGCTGCAGTGCCAAAGAAAGAAACTAGCATGAAATCAGGGACCGATAGATTTGGAAAAGAGAGATATTGTCTGTAAGGTCTATACGCGTATCTGCTCAGAGCAAGGCTGAATTTTTGTCAGCACAGCTGAAAAGTAGCTGCAGACAAGCTTTTTTTGTTGTTGTTGTTGTTGTTTGTTTTTGTTTTTCTTTCCAGGCCAACTTGTTATAGCTTTGCATTGTTTTCCTTTGTCAAGTGTTCGGAGTTGGGAATTGAACTAGCAAAGCCCCAGGTGGGACTTGGAGAGATGCTGTGTGGCTCTCGCCTGCCTCTCCACACTCCCTTTTATTGAAGGGCAGCAGAAGTTAGTGGTGAAACTGTGACCAAAGCTACTCAGATAGACTTTGCAGCAGTCAGTGTCCCATTGAAGTCTAGGCTAGGCAAGAGTCTGCCCCCATCTTTGATTGCAAAAATGGGTCTGTTAAACTGTTTTATATAACTTAATACGCATGAGAAGTTTGTGGGTCTCAAACAACAGACATTTTCAGGAGCTTTTTCTTCATTTCAGTCTTCACCCTGGGTTTTTGCAGGGCAGTTCTGGGCTCCGCAGTATAAGAGGGATGTGGAGCTGCTGGAGAGAGTCCATCGTCCTCACTCTTAAGCACAGGTAGTTTCACTTAATCAGCGGGGCAGCCCCAACACTTGGCAGCTCAGGGTGGTGAGAATCGTAAATGCTGCCTGGGGCTTTTATTGCAAGTGCTTTTATACAAAAAAATAAAAATAAAAATAAAAAAATCACAAACTGATTTAAACAGAGTAGACCCAAGTCCTGGGCGGTTACACGACCCGTGTACAAGTGACTGCTGCGTGTGCAGGGGGTTGGACTAGATGATCTCTAGAGGTCCCTTCCAACCCTAAGCATTCTATGATTCTATGATTCTATTCTATGATTCATATCACAGCAGGTCCTGATTCATGTGCTGAGCCCCTGTCCTAAGCCCGTCCTCTCTCTTAAGCACAGGTAGTTTCACTTAGTCAGCGGGGCAACCCCAACACTTAGTAGCTCAGGGTGGTGAGAATTGTAAATGCTGCCTGGGGCTTTTGTTGCAAGTGCTTTTATACAAAAAAAATAAAAATAAAAAAATCACAAACTGATTTAAACAGAGTAGACCCAAGTCCTGGGCGGTTACACGACCCGTGTACAAGTGACTGAAGGCAGAGGCTGACTTGTTTCTGTTCATGTTTTGCCGTGCTAGTTGTGGGCCCTTATGTCAAAAAGATCCTGTGCGAAGAGCTCGGCGCCCCGGCCAATTCTGCAGTGAACTGCACACCGCTCGAGGACTTCGGCGGCCACCATCCCGACCCCAACTTAACCTACGCTGCTGACCTGGTGCAGACCATGAAGACGGGAGAGTACGACTTTGGAGCTGCCTTCGACGGGGATGGGGTAAAGGAGCTTTTCTCTAGCTGTGTTTTTGCCCTCTGGTCAGTGCTGGGGTAGTGACCATGCAGCTGCCTTGGGCAGAGAGAAGGATGGAGGTGAAGAGCATCCTCATTGAGTTGATAGGGCAGCTTTTAGTTAGGCACAGGCACCTTTGTCTTTGAGTTCAGTAGAAACAGGATGGGT